TGATGGAAATGCTTAGGAGCTAGAGATAGTGGTTTCACAATACCGAGGGCACTAAATGCCAATAGGTTCTTCACTTCAGAATGGTTAATTTTATGTGGATTTAAGTTCCTTTTGCTAAGGACACAGGCCAACTTCTCTATTCCTTCTCAGATGCTACCTCTCCTTTCAGCCTGTGGCATGTGCCTGGTTTACAACGGAATATTTTATGGGTGTCCTTGAGAGCGATTAACCAGTTTGGCCTGCCTAGTCCCAAGTTATCAGCTCTATCTCATTCTTAATCCTTCTAGGGTGACACAGAGGGCTTACAGAAGAAATTACCTTTTCACAGTTTACTAATGGCAGCCACTGTGTAGTAAGAATGTGTGTATGTAGTAGTATAAGGCCTGTATCCTCTTCCCACCCACCCTCCCAAGGGCTGCTCCCTCTCCACCATTCCCCTTGGTAATCATTGCCACACTGAGCCTGTCTGTCTCTCAGGAGAAACTGGGACCAACAGAAAACTGCTAAAGCAACAGCCACAGAGTAATAGGAATCTGCACTCCACAAAAGTCTTGCCTAAATTTGCGTGTCCTTGCTGTGTAAAGAGAAAACCTAGGAAAGTCTGAGCCCCTGGTCAATGTGGTGGTCAGGTCCTGGACAGAAATAGCTGGTCTTGATCTTCTCTGCCAGGGGCTCCCCTTCCAGGGCCAGTTTGCCATTTCTTCATTTTACTAAAGAAGATACCATTTCCTGGCATCTGGGGTCTAGAGGAGCCTAGTGGGTCATGTGAATGAGGAAGGGGCTGAGTGTGAAGCCACAGATACCTTGCGTGTGGCAACAGCTGTGGGGTGCCTGCAGAGCGGCACCAGCTTACAGGCTGCAGGTGGCAGCCTTTGGGGAACATGAGCCCAGAGCTGTCACAGCTTCCAGTTTTGCAAGACAATGCTTCCTTCTCAAGCTCCCACACCTCCCTGGATGTTACCATTCCTTTCAGCCTGCAGCATGTGCCTGGTTTACAGCAATATTTTATGGCTATCCATGAGAGCTACTAAAGAATTTGGTCTGCCTGGGCCCAGGTTGTCAATCTGGAACTTTACATGAATTTTCCCAATTGTAAAAGTTTGGTTCAAAACATTATGAAATGGTGAGGCTCAGTGGCTCACACCTGTGAGTACTTTGGGAGGCCTAGGAGGGCAGATCACAGGAGTTCATGAGCAGTCTGGGCAATCTAGGGAGACCCTGTCTCTACAAACTTCATGCCCTGCTCTTATGTGGGGAAAAGAGTGTAAAGCCTGTGGAGTGTTTACAAGTTTCCACAAGTATTATACAAGTTATGGATCTATTCTAAGCTCCTCACAACTTTCCAGATTCTTTCCAGATACCATGTGCCCATAAAATCTGGTTTCTGGAATACAAACTGGAAGGCACTTTCTTAGCAGAATCCAGATCATAACCTACCAGTCTCTGTAGCTGGTGGTGCTGTGGTTTATATAGCAAGAGGCCACCCAGCACAGTGGTTACGCCTGTGGACTCTGGAAGTGGACAGCACCGCCCTTACTGGCTACCCCAGTGACCTGGGGTCATTTCTCTGTGCTTTGCTCTTCTCATCTCTAACATAGGGATACTAAAGGGACCTGCTGCCTTGGACTGCTGGTTAAATGCATTCAGATATGTAACTACTTGGAACAGTGCTTTGCACACAGCAAGCATTAGCTTTATGTTGGCCTCCAGCCAGGGACCAAGAGCCTATTGATGACACCAAACTCTTGCCTCTGGGGATACAGGCCATAGATGGGCCAAACTTAGACCCACTCATGCCCCACATGAGTTACACAGGCAGAATAGAGAAGAGAGATGTCCATGCTCCTGGTCTCCTGAGAACTTTCTCTTCCTCTCATTAGATGAACTATGAAGTCAGGAAGCTGGCAAATGTCTACAGAAACACAAAGTAAAAAACAGATTTGGTCCATTCCTTCCTAAAACATTGAATGCCAATTCATCATAAGGGCTCAGATATGTTCTAAGGGCCAGGTTACATTTGAACCTCAGCTTAGCAATGTTATCAAAAAAGCCCGCTGGGTCTCCACCTCTCCATATCAGTATTCTCTCTTAAGCTGGAGTATCAGTGAATACACTGAACACCCACTACAATCAGAGCACTGTTCTTAACTGCTAGGAATTGTAAAGAAAACAATGGTACCTGGTTCTGCAGAAGCTTATTCATTCTCCGAGTTAACAAATATTTATTAAATTCTCACTTTGTGCCAGACACTAAGGAAAGAGCAATGAACACAGTAGATTAAAGCCCTGCCTTCTGGTGCACATAATGTGGGGAGGCAGAGATAGACAATAAAAAAAATAGCTAAGTAAATTAAATAGTAGGTCAGTTGATAGTAACCAATATGGAGAAAATACACTAGAGAGAGGAAGTGCCTGAATGGAGGTAATTCACAACAGCCAGGACGCTGACAGCAGATGCGGTGAGCCTGCCTCAGTGCCACCATAGTGGGTGGGTCAAGGAGTAAGGGAACCTTTAGCAGAGGCTGGGGTAGCCCATCAGGCCATGAGCAAATGGGAAAAATGAAAGAGACTCAGGGATCTGCAGCCTATGAGAGCCATGGGGAAGATGTCAAGTGCTCCTGGGAGCATCATCCGAGTCAACGAAAGCAGCCACCTCTTCACCAGCCACATGCCTCTGCCTCCAAGGCTAGCAGAGCCACTGGTGACCAGGCAGGAAGGGGACATGGAAATGGAGTCTAGTGAATGTTGGCCCCAGGCACCCCAGGAGCCTGCATGAAGCTTCATAAGGACTGCTCCCTCTAGCTTTAAGCCACTGACCCCTCTCCCCATACACCTGGGCCACCCTGGGGAAAGGCATGATGTCTTAGAGAACTGAACACTGCCCAGAAGGGCCAGTTAACTGATTCGCCTGGACCATGCCTTATCCCGGCTAGAGCATCCATTTCTCTTGTTGAGAGCACAGGGGAAAATCAGATCAACTATAAATGAAGACATTACATTTTCTCTGCCTAGGGGGAGGAGACAGGGAGGAAGAAAAAGTGGAAACAGTGGGCACAGCAACTATTTTGAAGAGTTTTGCATGAAAATGATCCAGAAGAGAAAAACCGATGGAGAGAGAGAGAATTGATACAGTGATGCCTGGAGGAGGAGAAAGTAGGCTTGAGGGACACAGCCAACTCAGCTGCAACTTCCACCAACTGTCCCTGGGGAGCATGAGCGGAGGTGTGGCAGTTATCTTCAAACTGCTGCTTTTTTTTTTTTTTTTTTTTTCAGAGAAACGGGGTGCAAGGTCACCAGCTGAAAAGCAGGGGGTGGAGGTTGAGTCTAAGAAGAGAGGAGAAGGTATAAAGCAGTAGCCTGGGGGTGGGGGAGTGAATGAGGTCAGATAAGAGTCGGGAGGGCCGGAGGAACCAAGCACCCCGCTAGTGGTGGTGCTTTCAAGTGAAACAGTGCGATTTGAGAACGCGCAAGGAGTAGGAGGGAATTCGGCTTCACCAGGGCTGTGGTGCTGTTGGCGGATGGACGAGGCTGACGATGGAGAAAAGAGCAAGGGAAGCGAGGACGTCTGTGTGGGAGTGATGGCGACTGCTCGCAGGCAAGGGACCTCCATGGATGGAGGTCGCAGTCGGTTGAAGGATTTACCGGAACGGAGGTGCTAGGGGAAATGAGCTAAAAAGAGAGCGGGCTAAAAAGAAACCTAAAAAGAGTTCAGAAAGGGGGCTGACCGAAGTGGAGGTGGAGGAAGGCCGGCAGGCCCTGGCGACTGTGAGGCGTAAGGTCCAGTCCACAGGCGCATCTGAGATCGGGTGGAGTGCAAGGTGATAGGTAGAAAGGAGGTCAACAAACGGAGAGGCCAAGGCATTGCAAGACTCACTATGAATGTGAACCATCGCAGATGCAGTGCTTGAAAGAGAGCGCAGGCCCCTAGTCCTCAGGGACCGCGGGTGACCCTGGGGGAAGGCACTGGAGAGGGCGGGGTCCGATGAAGTCACATTCAAAGCTAAATTTTGGGACCGCTGGAAACAGCAGCGATGAGGGAGGTGACAGGTGTCGCTTCTCCAAGTCCACAGCCTGCAAGTGAGAGAGAACTGCAGGAGACGCTTGTCCCTAGGCAAAGCCAGGTGCCAGGTCCAGAAACGAGGTTCGAAAGAAGAGGTTAAGGATTTAAGCCACTGAGCCGGTGGAGCTGTGCAGTGAGTGGGACGTCAGGCTTGCAAGATCCGGGATTAGGCCGACCAGAGCCCACATCCCAGTCCCGCCTCTTATTACCCGTTTGATCTCAAGTGAGATCGCTTTGTTCAGGGGCGAAAGGAGCGCCCCAGGCCATGAGGATTAAATGGAGAGCACAGGGCCAGATCCATCTAGATTCTCGGTAACTGTTAGCTATTGTTATTAAGATCACACTGTACAGACGCTTGCATTTGTTTTAGCCCTTTTCCCCAATTTTGGTTCTGGTGTTGACAAATAGTCTAGTTTTTTACGTGTATAAAATATGTTGTACATAAGAACACCATATCACATGTGAAAGTACTTATACTGTCCACGTAAATGTTTGTCTTTTACTTTATAATAAGTAAACATGCTCACGGATCCTTGAAATTATTTGGTCACGGCGGGCACAATGATTCACGCCTGTAATCGCAGCACTTTGGGAGGCCGAGGCAGGTGGATCACATGAGCTCAGGAGTTCGAGACCAGCCTGGCCAACATGGGGAAACCCCCGACTCCACAAAAAAATACAAAAATTAGCAGACCGCGGGCTCTCCTGTGCTCGCAGCTACTCAGAAGGCTGAGATGGGAGGATTGTTTGAACCTGGGAGGTCGAGGCTGCAGTAAGCTGTGATCGTGTTACTCACACTATAGCCTGGATGACAATGAGACCCTGTCTCAAGAAGAAGAAAAAGAAAGAGAAAGAGAGAGAGAGAGAAGAAAGAAAGAAAAAGAAAGAAAGAAGAGAAAGAAAGAAAGAAAGAAAGAAAGAAAGAAAGAAAGAAAGAGAAAGAAAGAAGAAAGAAAGAGAAAAATTATTTGGTCAATTATGTGGTCAGCTCCCTCCGCCACTCGCCAATTTACAGAAGAGGACAACTGGGCTGGGGAAGCACAGGACTGGCCCAAGATTACACAGTTACTCGGTTGTAGAGCCAGGGTTAGACAGAAGAGGCTCTAGATTCTGGTCCAGACTCCCCTCCTACTATTTAGCATTATGGCTTTCTGGGGATTACCGTAATCCCTCCTCCACCATCATGAGGCAGCACCCAGCCCACATCCCTTCGAAGGTCTTCTGTGTACCGGACGAACAAAAGCGCCCGCACAGTGCTGGGTCCAGTAACCAACGCTCTCTAGGGTGCAGACATCCCTCACCGGCCGGGGCAGGGCTCGTGCGCTACGGGCGCCGGGTATTCCAGTTGGTGAAGGAGGAAATGCACGGACCCGGGAAAGGACGCGGGAGCAGGGCTGGGGCGGGCCGTGGCCGTGGGAGGAGACTGCGCGCAGCTAGCTCGGTAGCTCCTCGGAGCCGACCAGCAGAGCTGATTCCCGCGCTCCGCAGCGCAGCGTTCGGCAGTCTGACCCGACGCGCCTGCAGCGCGCGGGCTGGGAAAGGAGGCGCTCACCGAGCTGCACCACGCGCCAGACTCCCAGCCCGACCTGGGGCGCGGCCGCGCGGGGAACCTATGGGCAGCCCCTGGAATGGCAGCGACGGCACGGAGGGTATGCGGGAGCCGCCGTGGGCCCCGCTGCCGCCTTGCGACGAGCGCCGCTGCTCGCCCTATCCCCTGGGGGCGCTGGTGCCGGTGACCGCCGTGTGCCTGGGCCTCTTCGCCGTCGGGGTGAGCGGCAACGTGGTGACAGTGCTGCTGATCGGGCGCTACCGGGACATGCGGACCACCACCAACTTGTACCTGGGCAGTATGGCCGTGTCTGACCTACTCATACTGCTCGGGCTGCCCTTCGACCTGTACCGCCTCTGGCACTCGCGGCCCTGGGTGTTCGGGCCGCTGCTCTGCCGCCTGTCGCTCTACGTGGGCGAGGGCTGCACCTACGCCACGCTGCTGCACATGACGGCACTCAGCGTAGAGCGCTACCTGGCCATCTGCCGCCCGCTCCGAGCCCGCGTCCTGGTCACCCGGCGCCGGGTTCGCGCGCTCATCACCTTGCTCTGGGCCGTGGCGCTGCTCTCCGCCGGGCCCTTCTTCTTCCTGGTGGGCGTCGAGCAGGACCCCGGCATCTCCGTGGTTCCGGGCCTCAATGGCACCGTACGGCTCACCCCCTTGCCTCCCGCCTCGTCGCCGCCCCACTGGCCCTCACGGGTGCCACCGCTTTCCCCGCTGTCGCGGCCCGAGGACGCAGAGGCCGCAGCGCTATTCAGCCGCGAGTGCCGACCGAACCCAGCGCAGCTGGGCGCGCTACGTGTGATGCTGTGGGTCACCACTGCCTACTTCTTCCTGCCCTTTCTGTGCCTGAGCATCCTCTACGGGCTCATCGGGCGGGAGCTGTGGAGCAGCCAGGGGCCGCTACGAGGCCCAGCCGCCTCAGGGAGGGAGCGAGGCCACCGGCAGACCATCCGCATCCTACGTAAGTGGTGCCACCTCGGTTCCAAAGACGCCTGCCCGCGGTCGGCATGGCCGCGGACCACGCAAACGCTGGGTCCTCTTCCTCTGCTCGCCCAGCTCTGGGCGCCGCTTCCAGCTCCCTTTCCTATTTCAACTCCAGCCTCCACCCGCCTGCACTTTCTGTCTCCCCATAAAAACTATCTCCTGTCCCCCAGACTCCAGGGCGCTTCAAGGGTGGGATTCCCGGATCGGATTCAGTTGCTAGCAATGCTTTTCCAAAGCCTCTGAGACCAGGAGGGGGAGTTGGCAATGCTTAATCCAACCACCTGTTAGATGCCACAGATGAGGAGTCCTCACAGTGCCCTTGAGAAGACGAAGGAGACTTCATGAAGCTAAAATTCTTATTGAATGTTAAGTGATGCTGAAGGCTAAGTAAAGCGTGCTCATATCAAAAAGTAAAGATTGTGCAGACCTGTTGTAGAATTCTTTTCAACAGAAAACTTGTCTCCGAAGTGGGTTTGTGGAAGGGAGCCTGCCAAGGCGGCTTGTTTAGAGAAATTGCTCCTTCTGGTTTATGTCCAGCCTTGATAACACATATACGAGCCTATTATGCCGTTTTAAAGCAAATATCCATGCAGCCTACAACCAGGTGGTTTGTTCTGGGGTGAGGATCCGGCTAGGCAGAAGTTTTCTCTAATTTATTAGGCTGTTACTTATTATTGCAGATGGTTCCTTGGGGCGGGGGGAGGGGGCGCCCTTATTTGCTGCCCAGTGCTTTTGTTAATCCCGGTGCTGTGTCTTATGTTGCAGTGGTGGTGGTTCTGGCATTTATAGTTTGCTGGTTGCCTTTCCACGTTGGCAGAATCATTTACATAAACACGAAAGATTCGCGGATGATGTACTTCTCTCAGTACTTTAACATCGTCGCTCTGCAACTTTTCTATCTGAGCGCATCTATCAACCCAATCCTCTACAACCTCATTTCAAAGAAGTACAGAGCGGCGGCCTGTAAACTGCTGCTCGCAAGGCAGTCCAGGCAGAGAGGCTTCCACAGAAGCAGGAACACTGCCGGCGAAGTTGCAGGGGACACTGGAGGAGACACGGCAGGCTACACGGAGACAAGCGCTAACCTGAAGATGATGGGGTAACCAGCACGGCCAAGCCAGGCTCCTCCCGTAGTTCTAAGACTTCGGGGGAAACAGGCGTGCAGAGAAGTAAAGACTGAAAGTGAGGAACAGATGCTGAGAGGAAGAATGGAAGGGGGTTGCATTTGTGCCAGTTGGTTAAGAGAGAGACTGCAGGATTTATTTAACCAGGGTATGAAATGTAACTGTGCCAACCTTTCTAGTTTCCTTCCCACATACCTCCTAAGGGATGTCCATTTTACCACCATGAAATCCCACATCTCAAAGTGTCCTCTGTGTGCTGGTTCAGTGAAGTCCTCATTCTCCTACTCTTTAGAAAGATTGTTCATTTTACAGTTAAGTGATACAGAGAGATGCTGCCCCAAAACTGCCACCTCTGAGATCAGGAGCATATTTTGCTTTTATATTTTGGATGTCAATGTAACAGTGCATCTACAAGCAACCAGGATAATGACAGTTTGATCCAAGAAATTATTAAATACCTGTATATGGCTGCAAAACCTTTTAGAAGTAAAATGAATTCTGGGTAGACTCCAGTGTTCAGGGGTCCCACCTCTCCAGATCAGAGCAAATCATAAAGTTTAGGCACAAGAATACCCTCTTTCCCAAGTACCCAGCAACTGTGTTGCAACCCACTTCTCCTTGAGACTGACTGCCCATGGATTTTCCCAGTGCCACTGGCCATGGGGTAGCAAACTTTGGGCATCAACATTTGAGAGTAGAGCTCAGCAGGATGTGGCTTTCTCTGGTGACTACAAATGACATTTGTAAAGAGCTATTTAATATGCTTTATCTCGGCCGGGCACAGTGGCTTACGCCTGTAATGCCAGCACTTTGGGAGGCTGAGGCGGGTGGATCATGAGGTCAGTAGATCAAGACCATCTTGGCCAACATGGTGAAACCTCGTCTCTACTAAAAATACAAAAATATCAGCTAGGCATGGTGGGGCACACCTATAGTACCAGCTACTCAGGAGGCCGAGGCAGGAGAACTGATTGAACCCAGGAGGTGGAGATTGCAGTGAGCCGAGATTGCGCCACTGCACTACAACCTGAGTGACAGTGCGAGACTCCGTCTCAAACAATACATATGCTTTATCTCACCTCAGCTTCGTGGGGTGAGTGCTGTCGTCAACATTCCTGTTTTACTAGTGATGGAAATGAGTCTGGGATTGCCCGAACAGGAACAGGTGAGCCAAAGTCTGAATCCAGTGTTTAAGATGCTCACCTACTCCCATGCCAAGATGCTGTCCTTACTGAAAAACACTGGTCAATGGATTCACTCAAGAGTGAAAAAGAACTTGCTGGACATTCTGATCAACATCTCTGTAACTTTGTTTTGTTTTTTACAGCTTAAAACACAAATATTTTTAGAGGGCTGCTGCTGTCACTCAGCTCCAGAGGGCTTCTCTCACACCCCTTCTGTATGAATGGCACCCCCCAAATGTGGGCAGGGTACAACTTTCACAGTTGTCCTTGGGACCTTTTTGGGTGCTTTCAGATTAATAAATTCAAACCTAAATTACAATAGAATCTTGATTTTTATGAGAAACTTGTCCTGAGACCTTCAGGAATCTTCAAATCTATAAACAGCAGAAAAGTGACAAATGCTATAACTTCAGAGTTATAATGAAAAACAGACATAAAGTCACATTGAGACTTGGAGGCTGGAGAGGCAGCTCCATTGATTCACTGATTTCATGTCTCTGCTTCACAGCCCACAGTTTTAGTGGCCTTGGTGAAAGTGTCTAAATTACTTCACACCACAGGCCACCATAGTCTCTTTTGAATAGTTAAAACCACAAAAGACGAATACATAAGTAGCAAGGGTATGCCCGAAAATGCAGTCAAAGTTCTGTTGCATTCTCATTTTCTTAGCCAAAGCCCTAGCTCTGTCCTCAGCCCCATCCACAATTTGCGGAGGCATAAAGTCTCTCATTTGCTTTTTCTCCCAGCTAGTGGAAGAAGCAGATTGTAGTCACTTAAAGTAGCATTCCCTAAACTGTGTTCTGCAGATTTACAGGGATTATTGGAACAAATGGCTCTGGGGTTAAATGTGGCAGGAAAATAACACATTGTGTTCCCCCCACCACACCCTCAACATTTAATACACATAACATAGCATGTCAGAGGCTCTGAGAAGTTGTCTTGACCAACATTTCATTGACCTATTTAATCACAGAGCCAACTCCCCATCTTCCCTCCCTAAGAACACTTAGTAAAATCTCATGGAGTGAGGAATACTTTGGGGAGCTCTGATAGAGGGTTTCTGACAGTGGAGATGCCAGCCTTGGGCGTCTGTACCTCTCTGCTTGGTAGCACTGAGTACAGCAGCTGCCGCAGTCCTTCTGCTCACGGGAGCTCCTCTCTGGAGCAGTCAAGAGCGGCCACCTCTCTAGGGAAGTTCACAGCAAAGAACCTTATTGAGATGTATATAATATTTTATTTCATTTTTTTTAGAGTCAGGATCTCATCCTGTTGCCCCAGCTGGAGTGCAGTGGCACAATCATAGCCCACTGTAAACTTAAAGTCCTGCGTTTGAACCATCCTCCCACCTCAGCCTCCCTGGTAGGCAGGACTACAGGCATGCACCACCATGACTGGCTAATTTTTCAATTTTTTGTAAAGATGAGGTCTTGCTGTGTTGCCCAGGCTGATCTCAAACTCCTGGCCTCAAGGAACCTCCTACCTCAGCCTCCCAAAGTGCTGGGATTACAGGCACGAGCCACCACACCTGGCTCATGTATAATATTCTAAATGTAGAAGCAAAGACCTCTCCTTTGAGCTTCCTTATTCAGACTAGAAAACAAGGATTTACATGACACTTTGCTGGGACTTAAGCATGTTTCCAGGTGTTGGCATGGGGAGGATCGCCCTTCCCTTTCCAGATGGTCTCTGAGATGGAAGGCCTGAAGGCCATCCCTTTCCACAGGATTCTTGTGTGGTCTCAGCCCACTAGTGGACTGTGAATCAGTGAGTGTGTCACATTTTTCTTTAATGGAACAGCACGGAGAAGAACAGAGTCCCTGGTGCATCACATGTAGTAAGGTAACTGTTGTGCTGTGAAGCTTGTGTTCCAATTATGTTTTGGTTGGTGTCTTTCCTGGTTCACAAAATAAAATGTATTCTTGCTGAGGGTCATGGTGGAAAATGTTTAAAAAGTTGTTCTAAGATCTAAAGTTTTTGTCTACCCCAGCAGACAGCAGCCTATTCTTACACTGACAACTGGCTACGAAAAGCGGGGGCCAAGTCAGCGAATCACTGGAGCAGGAGAATCACTGAGCTCTGGTTTCCAGTCCTGGGCTCCCTCCCCACCTGACCCAGGGTGGGAATCGTGGAGGCTGTGGGCCAGCCACGCCCTCCACCCTAATAGAGCCCTGTGCTGGCATTCTAGCCACTTCTCTATGAGCCGCCTTTCCCTTCTGCAGGCGGAACCACTTTTGTGAGGTGAGCTGCCAGCCTTGGGGGAGGGTTTGTATTTATTCATTCCCATGGCAAACATTTACCAAGCAACTGCTAAGTGTGACGGATATAACAAAATACACTAGAAAAATTAGTCCATGTGACGATGTCAAAATCAAACAACTTTCTACTGGCATTCTCTGTTTGAAATGTGTATTGTGTCTTCCAGACTAACGGATTCACCATTTAGATCAGACGGAAGTGCAGAACATCAGGTTTGTACTACCTGTCTGGATGTTCCTTCTCTTTTTATGTGAGACATTTCCACTTCTGAAGGAAATGTTCAAAGAGCTATTGCACAACATCCTCTAGGATCCAAGAGTTCCCTGTGCCAGGTTCTCAAAGAGACAGACAGGCAACGTGCTAATGGTGTTTAAAATTCAAACATGCCCTCTCCTGACCCTTTCTACTCATGTCATAATGACATTTACCAGTATATGGCAGCAAATTTCAGTGGTTGCACTGGTCTAGTGTTTTGTGTTTTGTTGTTTTTTAGAGACAGGGTCTCCCTCTGTCACCCAGGCTGGAGTGTGGTGGCTTGATCTTAGCTCACTTCAGCCTTGACCTGCTGGGCTCAAGCAGTCCTCCCACCTCAATCTCCCAAGTAGCTGGGACTACAGACACACATCATCATCACACTAGCTAACCTTTTTATTTTTTATTTTTACAGATGGGGTCTTATTATGTTGCCCAGGCTGGTTTCCAACTCCTAACCTCAATTGATCCTCCCACCTCAGCCTTCCAGGGTATTGGGATTACAAACATGAGCCACCATGTGCAGCCTAGGTTTAAAACTGGCATTATTTAAACATAGATGGGATGCAATATTTAATTATGAGCCCACTTTCTAAGAATTCCAAACTCTATTACAGAGCTCCTAGTCTTCTGTTAAGGAGCCTTCAAAATAAGTGTTTTCTCTTTTGAGCGCACGGGGCATGCACGGGCTCCACAGGAATGCTCTATGGTGATCACTCAACCTGTCCCTTCCTGGTGTATGCTAGAGGAGGGGAGAGAGGCTGGCTCAACTGTCTGCCTTCTTAGGAAAACACCACACACACGTTTGAAATAGTGCACACCTGTGTACTAAGGGCTAAAGGACTTTTTATTCCCCATGCTAATTCTCTGGCCCAGTAGTTCTCAAACTTCAGCCTGCACCAGAATCACCTGGAGGATGTGTTAAGACACAGATTGCTGGGCCCTTCCCAGAGAGTTTTAGATTTAGTAGGTCTGGGGTGGGGCCCAAGAATCTGTATTTCTATCAAATTCTCAGGTGATGCTGGTTTATTTCCCAGGTGGGACAGAGCAGGATGGCATAAGATTTCATCACACTACTCAGGACATGCTCAACTGAAAACCTAACAACTGTTTATTTCTAGAATTTTCCATTTAATATTTTTGGACCACGGTTGACCACAGGTAACTGAGCCCTCAGAAAGTGAAACTACGGATAAGGGGGAGTACTGTACTTTGTGGTTCCAAAGAAGCCATCCAGCTGGAAAGGTTCTGTTGTTGCGCTTTCCACAGGCTCCTGCAAACAGGTCCCGATGGTCAAATACTCTTTTTTTTGGTGGTGTTGAGACTGGGTCTCACTCTGTCATCCAGGTTGCAGTGCAATGGCCCAATCATGGCTCACTGCAGCCTCAACCTCCAAGACTCAAGTGATCCTCTCACCTCAGCTTCCTGAGTAGCTGGGACTACAGGTGCACACCACCACACCTGGATAGTTTCTGAATTTTGTGTAGTGAAATTTGTAAGTTTTGCCATGTTGCCCAGGCTGGCCTCAAGCTCCTAGGCTCAAGCAATCTGCCCTCCTTGGTTTCCCAAAATGTTGGGGTTATAGGCATAAGCCACTGCACCCAGCCACTCAAATACTTTTAAGAAATGTCGCAATACTATATAAACTCTTTTTGACTATACAGTTTTTTCCCCTCTCATATATTAACATTGCCCAAACGACTACTCCTTGAAATTCTAGAGAGATGTTTGGGTATGAAGTCAGGGCTCGCCATAAAGATATGGGCACGGAAATGATCATTTTATCCAGTGGCTCAAAAACTTTCACTTGCATCAGAAACACCAGAGGGCTTCTTAAAAAACAGATTTCTGGGCCCACTCCAGAAGTTCTGATTCTGTAGGTCCAAGTTGGGGCCTGAGAATTTGCATTTCTGTGTAGTTTGCAGGTGGTGCTGCTGCTGCTACAACTCCAGGATCACACTTTGAGAACCACTGATTTAAGTTATAGAAATAGATGGCCCCGACAAGGAGAAAGCTTACCGAGATCAAAGCAGAGGCAGAGGGATGCACTCTAATGATCCTGCCCTGCCTGGAAGTCACCAAAGCAGGTAGAAGAGCAGAAAAGGAAAAGCACACGATGCATGTGATACAACCCAAAGGAAGAGTGTTTCACGGAAAGTTGGAGGCCATGGGGTCACACACCATGAAGAACACAAAGAGAAGTAGGGTTGCCAGATGAAATTCAGAGCTGAAACTAAATTTGAATTTCTGATAAACGACATATATTTTCTGTATAAGTTTAGATAGTATTAGCAGGACACACTAAGGTCCATGTGTGGTGGCAAACACCTGGAGTCCCAGCACCTTCAGAGGCCGAGGCAGGAGGATTACTTGAGACCAAGAATTCAAGACCAGCCTGGCGATATAGCAAAACCTCATTTCCATACACACACAAAAAATGTTTTTCTTCATTAGCTGGGCATTGTGGTGCGCACCTGTAGTCCTAGTCACTCAAAAGGCTGAGGCGGGAGGATTGCTTGAGCTCAGGAGTTTGAGGCTGTAGTGAGCTCTTGATCACACTACTACACCTAAAAAGTACGGCATACTTATTTCTTATGTTTTTAAATTATTTATTATTTATCTGAAATCCACATTTAGATGGGTATTTTTTTTTTTTTTTAATCTGGTAACCCTAGAACACAGACAATGGAAATACCACAGGGTTTGGCAAAAGGAACCTAGCAAGTTCCTTTCAAGAGAGCGCTGGGCCAGGAGCCGGAAGATGGTAAATTGAAAGGAAATGGCCACTGAACAATGGCGGACTAGATGGTCCCAGCCTTGGGGGCCTCCTTGTGCAGGGAGCTCAGCAGCTAGGTAAGGTACTTTGCCACTAGTCCTGTCCTGTACTGACTTTTACCCCTGCCCAAGAGCCAGCATCTCCTGCTGTGGCTTGTGTCCCAGCTCCCTAGTTAGGAAAGCACCTACCATCCCGTGCTAGCATCTACATTGTACAGTGGGTAATTATTTGGATTTAAAAAAAAAATCACAAAACTGAAGAAGTGTCTGATTCAGAACTTCCTGGAATATAATGTGTCATGAAAATCTGTCAAACTGAGTAAGTTTCATTTGTATCTAACCGGTTCCTGGGTGTACATGTACACTGAGGCAATTTTTAAAAACTTTATTTTCTCTTTCTGCAAAAGGGTTCGAATGAAACAACATTTTGTTCAATAACTAATTAATTCACAATGAGGGGATGGTTCTTTTTTTCCTTTATTAAGACAGGGTCTCACTCTGTTGCCCAGGCTGGACAGCAGTGTGCTATCACAGCTCACTTGCAGCTTCCACCTCCCAGGGTCATGCGATCCTCCCACCTCAGCCTCCCAAGTAGCTTGAACTATAGGCACCCACCACTACACCCAACTAATTTTTGAATTTGTTTTTTTTTCAAGATGGAGTCTTGCTCTGTTGCCCAGACTAGAGTGCAGTGGCATGATCTCAGCTCATCACAACCTCTGCCTCCTGGGTTCAAGCAATTCTCTTGCCTCAGCCTTCTAAGTAGCTGGGATTACAGGTGCCCGCCACTGCGCTAGGCTAATTTTTGTATTTTTAGTAGAGACAGGGTTTCACCATATTGGCCAGGTTGATCTTGAACTCCTGACATTGTGATCCACTGCCTCGGCCTCCCAAAGTGCTGGGATTACAGGTGTGAGCCACCATGCCCAGCCTAATTTTTAAATTTTTTTGTAGAGACCAAGTCTCACCATGTTGCCCAGGCTAGTCTTGAGCTTCTGGGCTCAAGTAAATGCCTGCCTTGGCCTCCTAAAGTGCTGGGATTATAGGCATGAGCCACTGCTCCTGGCTGGGTGGTTCTTATTCTTAAAAAAAGTAACTCTATGTAATGACTGAGACCATGAAAGATAATGAAGTAATATTTAAATCTGTGTAAAGCAACTAGCATTGTGCCTGGTATTAATAGATTCGATAAATACTACTTAAATGTAAATGGAGGATATAGCAACATTTTAGACAGGGAAAAAGACTGATTTCTTAAAAACTAAGTTCACTGCAGTATTATAATGTATTATAGTGGAGTGTTTAGTTATATAACTATTGCAATGTATGTATAACATAGAATAATACAAGGTACTTACTACACCATCTGGCATGCAGTAACCCTCAATAAATGTGAACTAGCATTTTTGTCCTCAGTTCATATCGTATTAACTATCACTTGTTAGGTCCTTTTGTTTGTTTTGTTTTTAAAAACACGAAACAAAAGTACTGAACATTTATTTTCTAAAAATCCAACAACTCATAAGAGGCGTGTACACTTCATTACTTAGCTTAAGGGATGTCATTGGCATTTGACTCCCAAAGGATGCTTTCTTTCACCAAATGTCTTCAGCTATTTTTTTGTATTTATAATAAGCACATTCATATGATTCTGAGTTCTCCTCCAGCATGCATTTTTATAAACTGGATTCTGTGACTAATGCAAGCGTCTGACTTCCTTAAATGAAGATGAAAATGGCCAGGTGCACTGGCTCGAGCCTTGTAGTCCCAGGTACTCAAGAGGCTGAGGTGGGGGCTACTTTCTTAAGCCCAGGGGTTCAACCTGCAGTGAGTTATGATCCAACCACTGCACTCCAGCCTGGGCAACAGAGCAAGACCCCCACCTCTAAAAATAAATAAATAAAAGGAAAATGCATATCATAAACATATTTCCAAGTAGCAATTCCTAAGTCAAATTCTTTACATGTTCATTTACTAATTTACATACATATTTTGATTTCCTGTGACAAGGAAAAGATACAAAGCCTATTTGGTGTTTAAGTTGTTGGGCTATGTATAAAAATGAATAGGCCTATAATCCCAGCACTTTGGGAGGCCGAGGTGGGTGGATCACTTGAGGTCAGGAGTTCGAGAACAGCCTGGCCAACATGGTAAAACCCTGTCTCTACTAAAAATACCAAAAAAAAAAAAAAAAAAGCTAGCCAGGTATGGTGGCACATCCCTGTAATCCCAGCTACTTGGGAGGCTGAGGCATGAGAATCACTTGAACCCAGGAGGTGGAGGCTGCAGTGAGCCTCTGAGATTGTGACATTGCACTCCAGCCTGGGCAACAGAGTAAGATTGTCTTAAAAATAAATAAATAAAATAAAAATAATAGGACCAGGACCCTTAACCTCAAGATTCTGTAACTTTTCAGGATGTAAAAAAAATGTATGTAAATAAGTATAGATGTGATTTAATAAAGAGCAGGGGAATTTAGAGAAACTGTACCAAGCATTAGATGTATTATTTTTAGTAACAAGAAATTCCTTCTATGGACGAATTAAGATTTTATAGTGTTTGGGAGGCCAAGGCAGGAAGACCACTTGAAGCCAAGAGTTCAAGGGCAGCCTGGTCAACATAGCAAGACCCTGTCTCTACAAAAAAACTAAAAAATTGGCCAAGTGTGGTGGTGTACACCTGCAATCCCAAGCTGCTAGAGAGGCTGAGACAGGAGAATCACTTGAGACCAGGAGTTCAAGGCTGCAGTGAGCTATGCTTGCACCACTGCACTCCAGCCTGGGTGACAAAGTAAGATCTTGTCTCAAAAAAATAGTAAAATAAAGATGTTACAGTGATTCTTGGCTCAAACCATGCAAACTCTGGCTGAACATAGTTTATAAACAGTAACTCTCCAGCCAGGTACGGTGGCTCACGCCTGTAATTCCAAGCACTTTGGGAGGCCAAGGCGGGTGAATCACCTGAGGTCAGGAGTTTGAAACCAGCCTGGAGAAACACTACCTCTAGTAAAAAATACAAAATTAGCTTGGCATGGTGGCAGATGCCTGTAATCCCAGCTACTCAGAAGGCTGAAATAGGAGAATCACTTGAACCCAGGCGGCAGAGGTTGTGGTGAGCCGAGATCACACCTTAGCCTCTGGAGTGGCTGTTACTACAGGTGCACATTACCACAACTGGCTAATTTAAAAAAATATTTTGTAGAGATGAAGTGTCGCTATGTTGCCTAGGCTGGTCTTGAACTCCTGGCCTTAAGTGATTCTCTGGCTTCAGCCTCCCAAAGGGATGGGACTATCAACATGAGCCACTGTACCCAGCCCTCCTTCTGTTGATTTCTAATGTGTCTAATTAGAGAACCTCCACAGGGATGTTGATTCTGAAATATCCGAACCCTGATGGCCCTACCTTACAGTCCAGAGGTGCCACACCAACAGAGACCCAAAATGAGCTAGCACATTGACTGTGCTGCCCAGGCCCCTCTGCCCACCTCCTCTCAGCCAGCCTTTTGGTAGAGAGCTTGGGAGAACAAGGGAAAGTGGGCTTGCTAGTTCTTCCCACCTCATGGGAGCACAATTTCCACGGCTGCCTGAACATTCTTACTCCATAGCACATTAATCTCCATGACACCAAGTTTACTTTTCTAAGAAGACCATTTGGGACAATATATGGAAAACCTGAGAAGTCATTTCTCTCTGGCAGCACTGCCTCCCATAATGAAGCACATGTTCCTGAAGGGCATCTGGATTTTGTTTCGGGTTTCTCTTTGCTTCCTCAAGGTTTAAGTGATGCTAGGAATGGCCTTCTGAGAACTGTTTAGGAAACCTTAATTTCCGGACTCAGGATGGTGATAATAATCACATTTTTGCCCAAAATGACCAAACTGAAACCATCCCCACAGGGTTGACAATAATGGCATGCTGGGTTCTGGACAGAAATATAGTTATAATTAAGAACTAATCAGCCAAGTGTGGTGGCTCACACCTGTAATTCCAGCACTTTGGGAGGCCAAGGCAGGTAGATATGCTTGAGCTCAGGAGTTTGAG